AAATACAATGAGAATGATTGGCAATTTTGATCATGTATTTCATGCGTAATATTTTTTTTACCTGACATATTTATTATTATTCTCTATAATTATAAGAATAAACTAGTGTGCTGCTGTACAAAGGAAATGCATGTTCGTTGTCGTAGCAGAGACTTACCGTACTCATGGATACAAATACGACATGATAGAAATATGAAAGTCTATTCCTGGGTGGGAAATAAGTAGACAGACTGGAAAGGAGGAGTGTACAATCTCTATTCTGATGATGATGCCAGCAATAGTTACATTTGAGTAAACTATGTGTGCAGAATTGACATTTTTCTCATAGTTGTGAATACTGAGCAGTGATTAAATTTGATCTTCAGGTTCATGATGGTGGGATGCTGTTGTTTTCGAACCAGGATCATGAACAGTGGGAAAGTAGATCACAGATATTGTTTCATTGGAATGATATGTTATAGACAGACAGAAATTTAGAAAACTTTTCATTCCTACTTTACCTCTTTTCTTTCACCATACATACAGACAACTAAGAATATATATATGTATGATGATGTTGCATGCCTTGAAGGACTTATTGCATTGTTTGGTCATATCAAATATAAAAAGGAAACTCAAAACAGGTATAAAGTAAGATGCATGTATATATATATGTGTGTCAACACAAAAGTAGTATTTAGTACCCATTCGTGTAAAAACTACTGTACTGCATGTAACAGCAACACTTAAACCCTTTTGATGTACAGCTGATGCTACACAAACACAATTGCAAGAAAACATTCACAGAAATGCTGTCAATTTTTTCAAGTCAGTTTGTATCAATTCTCTCACAACAGTGTAAAATACTATAGACCTACTCACATATATATATATCATGGGTCTCAATATTCCGCTATTTAGCGGATTTCTGCTACCGCCATTTCCTCCTCTATCGCGACAGCGGGCCAATCAGAAAAAGAGTTGCTGGGAGCAGAGTGACTGCCAGGCCTCGGGAATTTGAAAAAAAATCGCCGAGACGCAGGAACATAAAAGATCTCGAATATTATTTGAAAACCAAATTCGATAATGTCTTTAAGTTCATTTTTGGCGGTCACGATTGTGATATTAATTCGGCTTTTCCCGGTCTGAGAGTACGTTTCACGTGAACAGGCGGCGATGGCGGCAAGCGGAATTGTAATTGTATGTGACACCGAGGCTCGACCGGAAAATCAAGATCTCAGAAATTTGTCTGTAACAGTCTGATAACGCAACATTTCTAACATGCAGGTTCTGCATTACAAACGTGGTGTCGCCATGAAAATAACGTTCGTCCCTGTGCTGTCGCTTGTGGGGACAAAAGAAAAATAAAAAGAAGAAAGTTATACAAGCGTCTTGTCGGGCTCGTCATTGTGACTGGAATGGGGGAGATTATTGATTTAAAAAAAAAAAGATACACTCGGGGGGGGGGGGGGGGGAGACACAAAACAAGAAAGGAAATTGGAAGCAAATTTTAATGTTTAGAATTTTTATTGCTACTACGTACAGTTCTCTGCAAAGTAAAGTGCGCATTGGTGCATGCCTTGTGTATAATCGGGATCCGTCATAACTACTCTTAAGCGTCTTAATGAACTTAGGGCAGGGGCCTAAGTGTTCGCGTTTCATTGGATGGGTGACAGTAAATTATGTCTCTATGTTTTAGCTGTTTGTTCAAGATTCGCAGATTTTCAATGTCACTGCATCTTGCCCTCCCACAGTTTTAACACTTACACCTCAAGCTATTCAAGTTATTACAATGTACTCTACTTTGAGTTTGAGCTTTAATTTTCTCTTTCACATTTATTATATAAATCATTACACCCATACTGGTTCATGACAGTCGATATTCTGGTTCTAGGCCTTTTCTCAGGCTCAAAACAAGATTCATTTTTATATAGTTTATATATATATATATACATATATGCAGGCAAATATGATGAAGGTAAAATATAAGTCGCACAAGACCACAGTGCGCCACCACTTTCTGTACGTAATCAAGATTGTAAATATATTTGGTAAGTGACTCTCACTTGAAATTATCTTCCAAACCCTCAAACTGGTATGAAATAACCTTGCTTTGATAAATTGATGGTTTTTATTTCAACATTCTAGGGTCCAACGGTATAATATTAATAATAGTGGGTGTCTCGCCAAAATGGGCTTCTGTCGCGATCACGCGGAAAGTTCCTCCTTTTTAAAAATTCTGAGTTGAGACCCATGATATATATATATATATATATATATATATATTATATAGTTTGATTTTTTCTCCCCAAACTGTAAAGTATTTCCTCATACCATTATATGAGCAGAAAATTATTAGTATCATGTGCTTCTGTGTGGGCTGGCTCTGAGCCTTTGGCCAAAAGACATTTCAATTAATTGCACCTCCTATTGTATGTATTCATTGCATCTCCCATTATATAATGTATTCAATTCCTAACTACATTTTATTGAAACCATGTCTGTGTGTTGAGTTTTGATGTCTCAGGGCTGCTCCTGACATGTGTACAGTATGCATTTTACTTAAAATGTTTATTATGTGCAGTTCAGAATTTCTTGATTTTTGTTTTTGCGAAGAGAACGTTCCAATGTGCTCATGGTGTACCCACAATTAATCATTTATATCTTTTCGATAGTGTATGCACGATGAAATGTCAAAGTAATTTGCTGCTTTTTCCTCTCTGCATAACTTACCAACTTATATTACTTCACATTTTTGTTTTGAATTGTGGCCATTTTTATCTTTCTACAACAATTTTCATCTAAAGAAATGTAAACAATGTGGAAAAGCTGTAAATGTGTCATGAATAAAGTTTACGTCCTATGTTTTCCGTGGATTTGAAAGCAAAATAACTAAGTTATGTTTTTTGCCCTGCATTTCTACTCTCATTTTGCGCGTGTTTGTTTGTTTGTTTTGGTAAGTGTTTTATAATATGGCGCTCGCAACTGCATAAGGTCCTACGATCGTACAAGCGCGCGGGACACATTAAACCTCACTTTTGTAGGAATTTTGAATTTCGCCTGGGTGGCGGCCGAAGCCTACTCTTATTGATTTTAGAACCAGCAAGGGATCTTTAATGTGCACAACATGCACACGGGACCTCCAAGATTGTTTTGCCCTTATCGTTGTTAGATTTTTACCTACCCTAAGATCAGGGGTGTGGCTGAAAGACAACAGTAAGGAGTCGGGGGCCCAGAAGGGAGATAAAAGCCGCAGACGACTGAATGTGGCTAGAGACTAGGAAGCGTGACTCTGACAACATTATTTTAGAGAATAAAAATTTCCATCGCTGTCATGTTTCGAACCCGGGCCCTACTGAATGAGAAGTGAACACCTTACCTCTAAGACCACAAGAGCCCCCTTTTGCACTTGTAAGATTAAAAACAAAGTTGTAGATGAAGTATGACGGTTGTTGATTGTATTTCCACACATACTATTTTGTTATGTCTAGCTCGTAAGTCATGGTGAGCACAGAGCTATAACTTGTCAGCCAAAAAAAAAAAAAATGGAGAGAACCCTGGGATTCCTATTAGTGCATTTTTGTGACAACAGCTAAGAAGCCTTGTGTCTCTGCAAATGACCTTCTTCTGTTAAAATTACTTCTGCTTATACATGTATTATATTCCTGTGATTTAGATTTGATATTATGTACCAATACTGTGGGTGTAGTGTAACATTTGCAATTTGTACATGTCATTTCTGCCTCTGAGGAAGGTGACCTTAGTGTTGGTGAGAAAAGCAAAACGTTTGTACTAGTTTCAGAACACATACATTGCTTTTACTGTTGCATGTTGTATACACAAAAAAAAAACTTTGTTTTTTCAAATTTACTTGAAATGTCTTGTAAATTTCATATCACACACACACACACACACATATATGTATGTGTATATATGCCTTTTTGTTATCATACTACATCTGTAAATTTACCATCGAAGAGTATGCATTTTGTAGTTGTAAATTTCTACCCTTTGAGTATGTTCACTAGCTGATGATTCCTTTTCCAATTGCATGGGTTTTTATTGTGTATGTAGAACACATAACAATGTTTGCCAACTGTGGTGAGCACAGAAAAAAAAAAATGTTTTTGGTAAAATAAAATGTGTGCATCGTGCATGGGATCCATTTGAATTAGTTCTGTTTTCACTTTCAAAGGGTGACTTTTGTTGCTTTGTTATTTGTAGGCAATGTGCTTCGGTGCACTCGTTCGTATATTTCTGGTATCTTACAGCCCTGCCAGTTCTTTTTTTGTTCGTTTCGTAAAAAGGTGCTTTTGCACCTATTCTCACATAATCTAGTACGCCTCAATGTTGAGACCAGCTACAAAAAAAGGAACATGTTCGAAGTGGCTTATCATGTGAGTGTCTGAATTAAAATCCCATTTGGAAGTCTGTTTTTCTCAACTAATTGCTGGATTCATTGGTGACATGTGCCGTATGTGGTGGAATCAGGCACTCGTCTATTTTTAAGCACTTAGAGTTATTGGTTGTTCATTTGTCTTGATTTTGATTTTTTAAAGAAATAACTTATCTTCAATAGAAGTCAAGATATTTCAAATTGAAGGAGGTGGGGGACATCTGGTTTCAGAGGTAAAGTTAGCTAGAAAATGGTTGCCAAAGTTTGGTGACTTTCAAATTTACATTTTTTGTCTTTAACTCTATCAGTCTGTGTTTTACTATCATATCCATAAGATGTGTGGAACTCTGTGCCCCCACTTTCCAAAGAGGAAATTTACTTGTTAATCCAATCGGTACGCTTTGCATAGCAGTCTGTCAAAATGATTTTTTGAGAAATACTGAAAGTTTCAAAGAGATCTTCACACTAGAAGTATTCTAAACTGTGAAGAATACGACCCCTGGGTAGGGTTATTTGTTTTTCAGTAAAATTCACACAGCAATGTGCTTTTTTAATGATAAAAGATTTTGAGTCAGAAAGTAAAATAAAAATTGCCAAACAGGAAGAAAAATGCTGTTTTCTTTGATTTTATTATTTTGACAAACACCATGATGCTTCTCATATTGCCCACATACTTCGCTGTTGAAGCTCCCCAAATTAATTATTTATTTTTGTTTACAGTTGTCTCTTTCAGCATCTTGCCTTTTCTTTTTCTTTTTCATTATTTGCCGTACAGTTTTACAAGTGCTTATCTCAAAATTAAAGAGTGAAAAAAAAGGTTGGTAAACACTCACTCAGTGAAGGAAAGGTATGCAGAGCTGTTTGTAATTTGGGACGCACCTTGTTTCCTGTCATTCCCAAATCCTTGTTAAACAACTTGAAACTTGAGCTAACAAAACACAGAAAAGTAGAGCTTTTTGTATTTTTCAGAAAGGGCATCAGTTTTTACTGTGGGCCTACTATGACAATGTACTTTTCTACCCTAATCCACGAAGGGCATACAGCTAAGAAAAAGCAATGCTTTTTGGAACTGTCATCTATTGTGTCTATTTAAATTTTACATGCATCAGAGAAGTAAGTCAAGTAAGTGTACTTTTTGTCAGGTCCTGGAAACAAGAGAGAAATGTGCTTTATGGTTGATGAGGTTCTGAGATCGGAAGGAGGCTGCAGTTTCACCAGAATAAATAAAGCTGCACTAATGAATTTACAAATTGCTGTTGACATCATCTTTCTTCCATCTTATATCTGGCAGGAAATGATGAAAAGAAATGACTGTGAACTTTATAATTTTTGGGGAGCACCCCACTCTACTGGATTATAATAATGTCCATTGAGTTACTAGACTCGTAAATATCACATTGCTTTCTAAATGCTTTGTTTTTATTCTTTAAGGACAAAATTTAAAAATTGTGAACACTGAAATTACGCCATAAGCAAAGAAAATATAGAAAAGTACAGTCAAACCCCGTTAAGACTGCCTATCTTTGGACAAGCATGAAGTTGGCGGTACAGCGGGGCTGGCGGTAAAACGGGATAGCATTGAATGCCATCTCGACTAGTGGTAGAGTGGTGGAGACTACAAAGACTGTAGCTAGTCTTGATTCATTTTTCTGTCTTGCGCGATTACCATACGCAGGTGAAAATGAAAAACGAGTAGCAAAGAATTACATCTACAACTCCATTCAAATTGAAAATGTCTACAGGATCAAAAGCTAAGCTATAATGTGCCAATGACTCTGTAGACGTTTTTTTTTTCTTTTTTCACCCTACGTCAATCTACGGGCCATCTGTAATCTTTTACTTGAGCAGGAGTCCTCACCATGTAAAAGGTGCATGGGCGCCCGCCAGCCTTTGTGCTGATGTCTAGAGATACCAAGTAGACAGGCCGAGGTGGCGCAGTTTCTTTGAAGTTTTTCCTGACAACTTTAGAATTTAATTCCAATTTTAAAAAAAAGTATTTGCCAAAGTATAAAAATAATAGTATTTCCATGATCAGGAGTAAATCAACCAGCGCTAGAAAATGATAAGCTCGCAGAGATGTAGGTGGGGAAAAAGAATGAAGCAAGCAGCCACCTATGGGCGCCGTGTACCGTGTGCAGTGTATGATCTCTTGTGGCCAGTTCGCTGGAGGTATGTCGGGGCAAATTTACATTAGTTTGATTAGGACTGAACAATTGAGACAGATGGCGGATAACGGTTTTGAGAGGAAAATATTATGTTTTAATAGGCATTCCTTGTCATACACTGGCAAAACCTTGTGGTAAGCAGGGCTGACGGTACAACGAGGTTTGACCGTATCTGGACAGTCTTGTTAACTTAGTCTCCACTCCTCAAATACAATACAAAAAATCTATTCTGCTAAAATAGTCTTAATTACATCAATACACACAAATACAAATGTATGCATTTCAAGAAGATTAGATCTATTTACTCCTCCATCAGTCCCTGTTGATGATTGTCAAGATACGTGAAGGCAAATGAATACCACTTGATCAGAACTTGTGACAAATAATATAATTGTGTGAACTCAAATTCCAAGAATTATCTACCTTCATGCTGTGAGAAACAAGATAAGAATTTATCACAATTGATAAAGATTAAAAGTCCCGGTTTTAAAACATTATCACCCTAAAATTCAAGCAAGTTTTAAAAAAGCTATGTTCATGCGGGTTTGTGTGGTATCAATTAGTTTTGTACAGTACGGTAGTTGTTTTTGTTTCAACACTGAGGCATCATTATCATTGTAGTTGGTTATCGAATTTTGATTTTGATTAGTTTATAATTTTCTTTGGATCTTATAATCCTCTGTTGTTTACTCTTTTGTGTCGGGTGTAAAAAAAAGGTTGCTCTCCTACCCCCCCCCCCCCCCCCCCAAAAAAAAAAGAAACCCAACCAAACAACCGCCCCCTAATTTAGGCTTTTTTTTTTGGGTGCATTATAAGGCATCCTTTTTGTGTCACTGTTTATTCAAAAGCAGATTTTTCTTTTGTTCTCAAATTCTTTAGGCCTACTGTGTACCTACCTATTGCTCGACTCTTTCATGATAACAGCAATCAGAAAATTAGAGTTAGTAACTGAGACTTAAAAAGAATTTTCAAGAAAATAGAGAAAACATTGACCTTTTGGGTCATGAAAGAAGCTAAAATTATCACATAGGGTTGCAGAAATAAAATAACAGCCAGAGAGGAACATATCATGTACGAATAAATGGGTACAAATGTATAAGAACTGAAGCTATTAACATGACAACTTCACAGCAGCAGCACAGGAGGCAGCAACCAACTCAATGAGAAATGATAAATCACCTATCTAGAATACTTGTAACTGTCATCACATCATAGAAACAATAAATATTAATATATAAACATTAACACTGTGAGACGTTTCTAGATTTAGAAAACTCTCGAGCATGAACAAACCACAAGAGATATGAAAAGATCAATAAGCAGTGTAACACGGATAACTCGAATTCGTCGGGACTGGCCTCGGTAGTTCAAGTAAGGGATATTTAGTTTACGGGATAAAGAAACAAAAAAACCCACGGGACCGCAGGCACAGCTCGACGGATGCGCGATGTCGAGTCGTCTGTGTTCGACCCCTCCGTGTTATACTGTGTCAGAGATGAAAGGAGTGAATGGAGAGAGGAAAAGACATATTACCAAGACAATGAATCATGGACAGATCAATAAGTAAAAATGGACTCGTAAAGATCCCCACAAACCATAGAGGCACTGACTTTGGAAAAGTTAAATTTTTTATAGACCCCCAAAATACTATTCTAAGTCTCATCATAGTTTTAATGGAGGTGAGCAGCAGAACTAGAGATACATGTATCGTGTCAAATAAAATACCTCACAATATTATCAATATGTGTCAGTTTAAATTTGACAAAATCACAAACAAGAATTGCAAAGAAAATATAGAAATATAAGATATACGAAGGGCATACCAAAAGGTTTTTTGTGTTACCTGACCATGAATGAATAAAGTAGAAAGCTGAAATTTGGGGTGAAAGCCAACAATCATCTTCCAAGAATACATGAGAATTTTGGGGATAATTGGTTTTAACACCAGCGCACTTTAAAGAGAATGGGGGTTTGTTGTTCTCCAGTTTCAACATAACAATGGTTATGGAGACAATTGAGCACAGGGCAGTAATGAAGTTTTTGTTCTTGCAAGGCAAGCAACTACAGGATATTTTTACGGAGATGCATGCCGTATAGAACCGATTGCCCATTCTATGCAGTTATAAAATTTTGGTGTAAAAAATTCAGATGCGCATTCACAGACATTGAAGTTGACCACCGTGATGGTCGCCCAGTGACAGCAACAAGAGAAGAGAATGTGTTGAAAATCAAGAAACTTGTTTGTTTGAAAGGCGGGTGACAGACGAACGTTTGAGCAAAGAAACTAGGCTTAGCATTGGATCAGTTGAACGAATCTTAAATGAACATTTGAATATGACCAAGGTTTCTGCGAGATGGGTCCCTCGTTTGTTGACTCCTCAAAAAGTGCAACGTGCGGATTGTTGTCAAAAATTGCTTGGTCTGTATGAAAAGGATTAAACAAAATTTTCTGAAAGACTTGTAACAATGGATGAGACACGGGTCGACCAACACGATCCTGAGCTGACATGGGTCTACCATAACGATCCGGAGCCAAAATCTGCATCAATGCAGTGGAAACGGCCCTCGTCCCCAACACCAAAGAAGGCAAAGGTGCAGCCATCAAGTGAAAAAGTGATGCTATCAGTTTTTTGGGACCAAAACCAGCTTAAGAAATTACGAGAGGCTATAATAGAAAAACGCAGAGGAAAGATCCGAAAGGGCATTTTGCTGCTTCACGACAACGGGGCAGCACACTTTTCAAGAAAAGCTGCAGAAACTGCATGAGAAAGTGGCTGTGGAATTCACAAGATGATTAGCCCCGTCCGACATTTTTGTATTCACAAAACTGAAAAAGGATTTAACAGGAAGGCAATTTGAAAGTGATGATGGGGTCGAAGAAGCGACAGAGGGCTGATTTTCCGACAAAGGGATGGTCTTCTATTCTCAAGGTCTTTTCAAGGTTACATACATACTGATGGTAAAATTTGTATAACTGTTGGAGGCGACTATATAGAGAAAGATTAAAGTTAGTACCAAAGTTCAGCTTTCTACCTTTATTCCTTCATGCCAAGTTCATGGTAAGGTAAAAAAAAAAACTTTTGGTATGCCCATCGTAGTTTTTGGCTTTCGAAAAAAAAACCCCTCCATACGGCACATTAAGGACTTATGATACGTTGTACTACAGGTATTTCAAAACTGCAATTATTTGCTTTGGCCAGGCAGACAGCAATGTGAATCAGCTGTTGAAATAACATACATTGCTGTTATGATGAGCCTCGATACCAGACTGAAGTTGAGACAGTTGTAGAAGTCTTTCACCAGTACACGTTCATTAGAGAGTGAATGAAGGAAGGAAATGTGGAGAATTAAATTGGACTGAGGCAGTTTTGGGACAGGGCGTCTTATTCCTTTGGGTGACACTGTGACTTCAGTTATAGGGATTGCTAACTAAAGCTGTAAAATAATACTGATTATATTAGATATTTTTCTTAATTGGTTCAAAACGATGCATTGAAGAGCCCTCTGCTGTAGATTGACGTGGAGGCTTTTGAACTACCCAAACCTTTCAAGTACAGAAATGGACTCAATCAAATGTATTCACCAAAGTGGGTTTTTTTTATTGGCTTATCCAAATGCCATAGTTGTTTGCTCTATCTTACTCTACTGCGCAGTTTCCCCCTCAGTGAAATGTGTTTAGTAAAACTTTAGTCTATTTTGCCAGACAGGGTGAAAATGTTATGCTGTAAAAATCAGACTATTCACCAAAAACTTTTTACCTTGGACATTGGCATTCAACATGCTCAAAATGCGATCTGATCTGCCCCTCTGTTTCTAGAGTCTTCATCATTCATTTGCCGCTTGCACATATAAAGTGATATGAAATACACAGAGTAGGAAATGCAAAAAGACGTCAAGAAATTTACTTGAATAAATAGGCCTATACTGTTGAAACACAATACTACAAACACATTGTAAAGAGAAAATAACCGCTCCAGGACAACCAGGAGGTAAAATCATGACTGGTCTGGGACTTCATCAAACGCCTACTTGATTAATGAACATAGAACATTTTTGATTAAACAACCCAGGACTTAAACGTTTTCATATATTCCTCTTGCCTTGAACAATTAAAAGGGGTTCTAACTGTCCCTGAAAAGAAATGAACATACATGTGTATACGATAAAAAAAATAGTATAATCTTGACTTTTGGGTCACTTTGTTGATATTGCTCATGAATAAACAGAGTATCTGATGTACATACACACAGTGATAATGCCTTCTGTGCCTACAAACGATGGTTATACGAATGACAAGGTAATCATGAAACAACACATTCTTTTATGGAATTGTATGTAGTCTCTCCACTTTCATATTATATGTGTACAATAAATACTGGACCATAAAAAATATTAAATAAAAATACCACAACCTGACTGGGCCATAATATATCCCAGAGAACTATAATTGTTACAATACAGAGTCCGTGGTGGGCCTGGTGGTACAAACTCATTTCGGGGCGAGCTCCAGACACTCAGATTGTACATGTATAAGAGCGTATAGGGCGTGCTGCATCTTTCCCAAAGTACATGAGCACCCATGAAGAAAAGGAAATTGACATAGTCTTGGCAGAAAAATGGGTAGCAGGGGTACATCACTCTTCACTCGTAGCGTGCATTAATGCTTAGACAATAATAAAAGTAAGACAGGTTGAGATAGACATATTATAAGGTGCCAGTCCATTTGACGGTCGACCCAGATGTTTCTACCTGTATTCTCCCTGACGGTCTACCACAGGAGCAGTCTGACAACCGTTCCACTTGTCAGTCTACTATAATCCATAACTCTAACCCTAAACCAAACACTAATCCGTCGTTGGGTTAGGCTTTCGGTTAGGTAGTAGACCGGTACGCCAAGCGGAACAGTGCCAGACTGGTCCGTTGGTATACCGTCGATTAGAAGAAAAAACACCGCAGTAGACCTTCAAACGGACAAGCATCCTCAGAATCCCTGTGCAGGTTCAATAACTGACACTATCAGATCAATATTGTACGGCACAAAATGTGTTTGAGTTTCGTTGTAGAGTAATTAAATTCACTATCCGGTAACCTCAAATCACGTGTAGCAGGTCAATATAAAGTCAGATTAGGCCTACACAAAAAAACAACACAAAAAAAACCCAACAACCAACAAACAAAAACCCAACAAAAAAACAAACAAACCAACAACACGAGAAAAAAGTTTAAAAATTTGGTCTCCCAATTCCTTGTATCTGGTATTTCGCTTTCTGTGAGCCCCCACCACCCAATACTCGACTAAAAGATATCAATTCAGTGTTTTACAGCCCACGTCCACCTCATAAACCACGTTGCACTTCTCTCCAAAACAGCCATATCGGTGCCCAATGGAGTGCGTAAGGATTTAGAGGGAGTTTTACACGCTATAATGCTTGAAATCTTGATTATTTAAAACGGCGTGCCATCGTCAGAATCTTGGGCCTAAAACTGGAACCAAGATGCATGTGGGAATGAAAAAGGGTTGAGGAAGAGAGAGGCCCTAAATACCGTTTCGACACCTGGAAAGATTCATTTACGAGACTCTGCGTACCGGGGTATACTTAGTTTATACTTGTATACAGTAATGTGAGGTAAGATGGCTTGGGTAACTGATAACAGCAGGTGAGAGCAAGAAAAAACGAACGCAAGACTTTGTCGTTTGAGAAAGTGATGCAGAGTCAATATATTCCCATTCTGATCTATGCGCCCCTTTCTCATTGTGGAGACTCGTGTTTGCCTTTTCCCCCAACGGGTTTTGATACATTGTACCTATTTGCCCCCTTGATATTGATATGTGATAGATATTATCAACCCCGCCACCCTTACGTCATTTAACCAATGAAACACCAATCATGTGTTGTGTACATGAGACTGGCGTATGTGCTAGGCCTAGTACACAATATCTGTGTTTTTACCATGTCTGACACCGTTGGATCTTCCTGGCATCTCCACGAAGACAGACATGCGCCCAACACCCTCGAGTTGATGCCAAACTATTGACACCACAGAATTATGCCTTTTGTTTAACACAGGGTAACTAGGTGGTTACATTTAAGCGAAACCTGTACACTCATTTTTCTATGTGGTAAAAACGAACAGTTCAATTGTTTAAATCATTTTATCATTAAATAGCATTCAAGGCAGGACACGAACAGATCAAAATCTGCTTCACACGAGATATTATGTTTATACCTCCTGCAAACATTTTCTCTCAGCAGCAGAGAATGAATCATTGATAGCAGTTACATCTTATGAAAGGATTTAAGAGCGACCTTTAAACGTGTCTCTCTGTCTTGACAGATGCTAAAGGTAAACATCTTATTAAACATCTTTAGCAGTATATATATTAAGCAGCTGTTATTTCTGCAGCTGTGGTATGACAATTATTAGAAACAATTTACATGTATCACATCTTTGGAAGTAGTTGCTAGGAAAGGACAGTTCACCTTTCAGACAAGTACCGATTCCGTGACAAAAAAATAGTGCGGTGATCAAAAACCACTCTTTTTTCACACCAAGAATGAAAAGCCCAAATACAACAACAACAACAACAACAAAACAAACAGGAGTTATGGCGAAGAGGGGAAATAAAGCGTTTTCCCTTGCATTGGAGAAGAGAAAGATGCAGCTTAAAGCGGCTAATTAGCAATCTAATTAAAAGTAAAACACTACACAACTGATTGTGCAGAAAAATGCGCTTTTTTGGTGAGGAGGCATCATTGTCAGACAAGTCAAGAACAGCCTTGCAGGAGCAACACTGTTGGACTTCAATAAAAATACAATGTATTTTCAATGCTCAATTACGACTTTTTAAAGTGTGTGTGTGTGTGTGTGTGTGCGCGCGCGTGCGTGCGTGCGTGCGTTCGTGTGTGTGTGTTTTGGGGATTAAAAACTGATTCCTAGAAGAACACCATCAGTCTTCAAATGCAAAATGACTCACTCCTCACTGGACAGCATTTCAAGTGGACGATTTCAGTATTTTAACCATATTAAGACGTCAGTTACCGTACTGAATTTTGACAAACATAATGCCATGGAGTGAAACCGGTCGCTGCAGAAATGATCAACACTTATATTTTATAGCCATAACCAACTGCAGGCATTTACTTTTTCGAAAGAGGATCTTTCAACGTCCGACGCTAAACTTTGTCATCTCTATAACCATGTTATGAGTTTACTTCACTGCAATTGTGTCACACTTCCTGTTTAAGGTCATCATTTTGTGGATACCTTTGTCCGTGTGCGTATCACAAAACCTGATCTCGTCATACGTAGTCACCATCGTCCTCTGCGGCCGAGAGCACAGACCGGCTAGACAGAGAGGACTGAGAGTTCGACAAATTATTCTCCTTCTCCTGCGACAGCCCTCTGGTCAGATGGTCTCCCTTTCTGTTGATAAAAGTGGACCGTCCCGTCGTGAGGGGCGTGGCTAATTTTGGCACGGGCGTCTCGGAGCGGTTGTTCCCGTCGCTGGAGTCTGATTGTACGGACCAGGCCCGTGTGAGCTCGCCCACCTCGTCCGCCTTTTCGTCGGTGAACACAAACTCTGAGTAGGCAATGTTGCCGCTGGATGTGCTGTTGGCTCGGCTCGAGCGGTTCAGCCGGTTGGCTACGTCAACGCCCAAACTGTCATGGTCGTCCACCAATTCATCGGAGCCGTTGCTTTGTCTCAAGCTCAGCTCCCGACCGAACCCACAGCTGCTGCCAGCACTCTCACGCCTTGGCACGCCCTCCGACGAGAACAGGTTTGACACCGATTTGGAGCGTGTTTTCTTGCTCAGTGCTGCTGGGGCAGGGATTCGTGTTGGCACCTTAGAGTTCTCGTCCTTTCGAGGACGCACGCGGAGGATTTCTTTAATCTTTGAAATCAAAGCTGTTGGGTCTTTAGCCACCTCCGTGTCAATGTCTTTTAGAGAAGAAGCCTTACGGCCCTTGCTTTCCGTAGATGAGCCGACGTCAGAGCCTTGTCGACTAGGCGGTCTCCTCCGCGGGAACTCTTCACCGTCTCCATGGGGAAACTCCCTGGTCTCGTGGCCAGGAGTAGAGGCGGCAGAGCCGTTGTTGGACGACGTATTTTTGGCCCGGTGATGTAGCTGCTGCTGGAATGATCCTGGGACGCTGGAAGATCTTCGAAATCGATTCTGATCATCACTGGATGACGACTTGACACTAGGAGGTTGTGAGGCAACACCGTGACCGTTTGAAGGAGGAGTGTTTGCAGATATGCCAGAGGACGAGGAATGAGAGCCGGTCGACGTCTTTAAGGAAGCAACGGACGGGGTTGATCGAGATGAAGCGTTGGTTGATCTCTGACTACCCGCTTTGACAGAGTTACCATCCCCTGGTTTGCTCTTTGCCTCTGCAGGTCCGCCACCAGGCGTGTCATTGACTGATGCCCGTAGCTCCATCTCTCTATACTTCTCAAACAACCTCTCCATCTTTCGGTACATTTCTGGGTCCTCGGGGGGAGCGTCCAGTTTGCAGGTGTCCAAGTGAGACAGGCCATTCTGCGGCTCTGTCAGAATAGCTTTGATCTCCTCAAGGGGACGTGGCACCAACTCGCTGGCTGGGATCTCCTTGCCGACGACTTTGCCGCGTTTGGCTCTTGTTGGGGGTTTCCTTTTGGGATCAGAGAGAGTCGAGTCCACCCAAGCCTCTGTCCGATTCATATCCGCATCGGAGCTCTCTTTCGCTTTGCTCACACCCATCTTTTGTCTGAACATAGACGGATCGGGCGTCTGAGACCGGAACCGAGCCGCACTTGATGCCGTGCTATTGGCTCGGTCTGTAGAGCTCCCTCTGGACGGTGGTCGCTTCACCACGTTAACACGGGTGGTCGAGTCGTATCTCATCTCGTTCTGCTTCATGACCTGTACACCGTGGTGACCCGAACTGTCCCGTCGCACCATCAGCACTTCTCCATCTTTCTCATCTTGCCCGTTCTGATGAGCCAGTTTCCTGGCGTCAACACTAGAAGATCTTTCGCGTTTCTCCAAGGCTTGAGCGGCCTTCATCTTTGCCGCATTCATCACCAGCTCGTTTATCTCTTCGTCATCCGAAAAAGTGATTTCATTGGTCAGTAACATCTGTTGTTGGTCAATGTTGGCGGTGCTAGATGCGCGGCGCATGGGGGCAGCAGATGAGGAACGTTTTCCTGGGCCAGATTTCAAAATAGGAGCCGGGTTAGTTAGGGAACCGCGACGCCGAGAGTTGAGTTCGTCATGCGCTGGTCGGGTAGAGGCTCTCTCAGCCATCGTGCGCCTCTCGTAAGGGCCCGGAGTAACGGACCTCGCTGGCTGCGGTTTCTTGGAGTTGTACGGACCAGGAGTAACAGATCGGCGGACTGCGTGCAGGTCCCGGTAAGACTTAGCCGGCGAGGTCTTGCTGTTGACATTCTGGTTGCTGCTATTGCTGGTGTTGTTGAATCCATTCGTTGGTTGGCATTTGCGAGAGATAACATTTACGGGTTTGTTTTGCGAAGATTTTGAGAGAGAGGAAACAGCGAAAGACCTGTCCTCGGGGTGGATGTAGGCCGAGGAAGGAGGGGCGTCCTCGGATGACCGCACACTCGACGAGTTGCTGTTGGACCGGGAGATAAATGCCGGACGCGTCGTGGACGGCGAAATCTTCTGATGGCACTGAGATGACGCAGCGGGAGTGGAGGAAGTGGAGGATGAGGAAGAGGAGAGAAGCTGATTGGCTGAAGAGGAAGACGACGGTGTGAAGTGAGATTGTGAAAATTGCCCTCCGCCATTGCCCATCCCATCTTGAGTGACGTCAGTGGTCGATGAGACTTTTGGTGTGACGGGGCGTGGAGTGAAGCACGGTTTGGGGATGCGGCTTGGAGTGGCCGGCCTCTCTTTCACAGTCGATGCCAATGACTGCATGTGAGGGTTGGCAAGAACACCAACAATTTCGTCATTGTCGTCGTCGTCGTCTTCATCGTCATCAACGTCCTCTTCATCCATCCCAGCTCTTGACCGACAGCGAGGCGCATAGGACTTGGACCCTACAGGTGTCTTTGGCCTCGTAGGAGTCTTGGGGCGGTTATGAGTGGAGCCGGAGTCTATTTCTTGTCTGGATTCCACCCAGTTGGAAATGGCTCCAGCCACTTTAGCTACTGCGTCACGTTTCATCTGGCTAGGTGTCTTTGGCCGCGACATTTTGTACTCCTCTCTCTCCCCTCCATCGCGGTCTAAACTACTAGGAGTTTTTGGTCTGTAACCACCACTTGACGTCGGCGTTTTTGGCCTTGACACGGAAGACGTGGGCGTCTTGGGCCGAGGGGGTGTGCTAGGGGTAGAGTTGTTTGCATTCCTCCTCAAAGCTACCGGGGTCTTTGGGCGGTCCCCAGGCAAAGGGCGTGGCTTGTCGTCCATAGGTGACTGCGGTAAACTCCGCCTTCCCGCACTGCTGTCTACAACTCCTCCTCCACCACTGCTTCCTTTTCTGGCGTTTACGCTAGATGAAATCGAATCTCTAACAGAACGTGCTTTATCCCTCAGGGAATCCCAGTTGAGTTGTCTGTTTACGGGTTCACCTCCACCGTTCAAGTTGCTGGCGCCGATGCGGGTCTGAGAAGAGACCTCGCCATTTTGTTGCTGCTGCTCTTGCTCTGGCACGGTGAGGGCAGAGTTGAGCAGTGACTTGAACTCTCGCAGTGTCATGGTGCTGATCTTGTCCATGCTCACGTTGGCCTTACCGCCGCCCTCTTGTCCTTCTGTATCAGGAGCAGAACGAGCGTCGGCGGGAAACTCTGCGCGCTCGTCAAACGAGACAGACCTAGGTGAGAAAAACATGTTTTTATGAGTTACATGGAAAAAAGAGGCCATTCGAATTCAAGTTTGAGTGGAGAGAAGCACATCAACCCAAGAATGGTCTTTTAGAACACGGAAAAGTGACAAAGATAGACAGATGCCAAAGAGGGAAAGAAAAGAAAAGAACCTACCATTGTTGCCCTTCAACCACCCACAAGGGTCATTTCCTACGCGGACCATGGGGTTAAAGGAAATGAAGAAAAAAAAGAAATAAAGAAAAGATGTAGATAATATAAATAATCAAGGTTTAAGAAAATAGAGGCACATGGAAAGAAAGAAAGAAAGAAAGAAGGCATTTATACTGTGAAATATCATGGTTTGAGTAAAGAGAAGCACATCGATACAACAACATGCATTTAGTGCAGAGGAAACAAGATTGGCAGAGAGAAGCAGAGAAACAGAGACAATTGACGACATAAAGGCCTTGAACATTTATTAGCTCTCGCTGGTAAAACAGAAGGCAAGCGAGGCAGGGGTAGACCCAGATCAACCTACTTGGAGAGCCTTAACAGATGGGAAATGGGAAAAGACCAGGATAATAATAATATAATGAATAGGGTTGGATTTTTTTTTCAGAGCATCTGAGCAAAGAAACGAATGGCGAACCATGATCGCCGATGTCTGTTGCAGATCTGGCACATGACGATCATGACATTAGATTTACTTCAACAGAAAAATAGACGTTGAATGTCGTAGCAACAGCAGAAACGCGATGGCTCTGTTTTTCTTATGTGGAATGAAACTTACGATCTTTCTAGGGTGACAATGATCAAATTTTATTGCGGCTTTTGGTGAACACAGACTTAAGCTTCATTAAAACAACAAAGAATAGAAAAATATCTTCCTTGAGGTCGGGAAAATTTCAAATTTTCTACTTTTTGACGTTGTGCTGTGAACACTAATTTGAAGCAACAAAGTGTTATTCTTATCATTAAGCATCTTATCATCTTCAAAAAGCATGATCAAAAGACGTAGGTTTTATACACACAATCAAAAAGTGGTACTTTTTATCGCCAGTATGTGCATCAATTTCAGCTAAACCTGCATCAATACTTCTTCCGGCGCCCCGCGCGGAACAAAAATACAAAAAGAACCTACTAGAAGTCATTTTTGGTCTCGTTCAATATTTGCAGAGTCGTCTTGTAACCCCCCACCCTTATTTCCAAAAAAGAGTGGACAATATGAGTCTCTGGTCCACTTAATCGGATTATAGAATCAGTGAGGACTCAGAAGCAGAGATTGGCTTTTGTGAGGGTGTGTGTAACACGTCCAGAGCTCTTACGCGTGTAACATGTACGGAGCACTTGTGTGTGTGTGTGTGTGTGTGTGTGTGTGTGTGTGTGTGTGTGTGTGTGTGTGTGTGTGTGTGTGTGTGTGGAAAGGGGCTACGTGAACATCAGTGGAAGATAAAGAAGTATCAAGAAAAAAAAAAATTTAAAAAGAGGAAAAAAAGGTGTGGAGGGCGAATCTTTGACACAATAGATTATCTGTAATATTCACTCCGCGATGTAAAGGGAAAAAAAGAGGCAAGGGGCTTGTGTCACAGTCACAGTAGTCACAGTAGTCACAGTGGGGTATCTCTGCTATTCGAACGTCCGCTTTCCATTAAATTTAAAAAACAAACAAACTAGAAGATGTTACCACATACTGACTTTCAGGCGCACAGGTAGTTCAATTGGCATTAATCTGGACAACGCAAAACCTGCTTTCACCAATGCTCTTATACAGGGCCTTAATTCAGTTCTTTCTTCAACAGTACACATATGGTGAATTCAATAAACCGTATTTTCTGTTTTCCAGTTCATGATTATACCCCCCCCCTACACACACAACACACATATCATAAACACACACACACACACACACACACACACACACACACACACACACACACACA